ACTGGGCTTGGGCTGAGTGTGTTTCGGTTGGTTTGGTTTATCGTGATTTAAGAGTAAATAGTAGAAAGACTTTAATTCAAACATGAGCAAAAATACACTTTAAACAAGACACAAAAATAAAAATAATACAAAAGACACAAAATAAACAGTAATATTGTGGTTATGCAGTGAGTTCCACAGGTTCATCCACAGATATATCATTACACAACACAGTCCAGACCTGTGGGCCTTTAAGCCTGCTCCGCCCTGAGGCCTCCCGCCCTGAGGCCTCCCGCCCTGAGGCCTCCCGCCCTGAGGCCTCCCTCCCTGGGGCCTCCCTCCCTGGGGCCTCCCTCCCTGGGGCCTCCTGGTCATGGCTCAGTACACCAAGAACTCCTATTGGTTTAAAGGAAATTAAAGAGTTATCACAAAGAAATTTGACACAATGATCAAAATATTAAAATTGATCAAAACAATGACCCATGTTTCTGCCCCAGACCCTCAGCTCAAAACTCATGGAGCTATGTGCCATGGCCTGCTATAAATTTATTCTGTTCTCATTAATCTTATTGTAATATTCTGCGCAAAACAAAATGTCCCGAACAAAAGCTTGATGTTAATCTGGGTTCAATAAAAAACCAAAACATATTTATAAAGAAAGATACAGAATGGTGTCGGGCCCTCCACAGTACGGGATGTCCCAGTGTGGCCCAGCCCTAGCCCACAGTTGAACCCCACAAATATCAAACATACAGCTCCCACAATCCTCTGCGGCTCTCCCCCTCAGCCTCTCCCCGTGATAAACGCGTTTATCCCGCTCGCAGGACGTCCCGGGCCCACTGTAATTCCCGCTCCGGGGCTCAGCGTCACCTCCGGCGTCTGCAGGCACCGGGTACTTCATTATTCATTAATTTACTGTCTAACAAATCCTGTCATCATTACTGCACCCTGAACTGCGTGCACGCTCGTGCGCACGCCCGTGATGTGTGCGCGAGGCGTGGCGAATGCGCGCCTCAGATCCGCGGGGCCTGCTGCACAAACGCACACAGAGCCATGAATAATAAGAAGTGAGAGCAGAGAGAGAGAGAGAGAGAGAGAGAGAGAGAGAGAGCGTGAGAGAGCGTGAGAGAGCGTGACAGCGTCTGACAGAAAGCCCTTTAGCGAGAGGCCTCTCACCCCGCGGCGCGGGCCGCATTATATCAAAAGACAAAACAAACAGTTGGCACAGGCGGGATCGATACCAATGAGGAGGGGGGCATGGGGGGGCTTTTCTGGACAAAAGACCAGCAATAACTCACTTCTTCTTCAGCAGCTGAGGCTGAGGCTGAGGCTGAGGCTGAGGATGAAGCAGAGGATGAGGCTGAGGCTGAGGCAGAGACTGAGACTGAGACTGAAGCTGAGGCTGAGACTGAGGCTGAGACTGAGACTGAAGCAGGCTGAGACCGAGGCTGAGGCTGAGGATGAGGCAGAGGATGAGGCTGAGGCTGAGGCAGAGACTGAGACTGAGACTGAAGCTGAGGCTGATACCGAGGTTGAGACCGAGGCTGAGACCGAGGCTGAGACCGAGGCTGAGGCTGAGGCTGAGGCTGAGGCTGAGGCTGAGGCTGAGGCTGAGGCTGAGGCTGAGACTGAGACTGAGACTGAAGCTGAGGCTGAGACCGAGGCAGAGGATGAGGCTGAGGCTGAGGCTGAGGATGAGGATGAGGCTGAGGCTGAGGCTGAGGCTGATACCGAGGCTGAGACCGAGGCTGAGACCGAGGCTGAGGCTGAGGCTGAGACTGAGACTGAAGCTGAGGCTGAGACCGAGGCAGAGGATGAGGCTGAGGCTGAGGATGAGGCTGAGACTGAGACTGAGGCTGAGGCTGAGGCTGAGGCTGAGACTGAGACTGAGGCAGAGACTGAGGCTGAAGCTGAGGCAGAGGCTGAGGCTGAGGCTGAGGCTGAGGCTGAGACTGAAGCTGAGGCAGAGGCTGAGGCTGAGGCTGAGGCAGAGACTGAGACTGTACTGTTTTGACTGTACTGATGGTTTCACTTGTAGATGTGTTTTGGCTCCAGTCGCTAAAAGACAATAATGAATTACACTGTAACACAATGGTCTCACTGAGCGTTTGCTAAATCCTATTGTTTCCGTGTAATCGACGCCTGCAGAGACCGGAGGGAGACGCCAAAATGTGTTCAGAGACTGTTGTCATGTGCTAATTTCACTAACAGCACAGGGAGGTTTCTATTCACTGCGTTGGCACAAGATGGACGTTTACATCCGAGGTTTGAGGTTTGAAGCTGTGAAATCATAAATACATTCAAATTGTGTGTCCCTGAATCACAACAGGAGTCGTCTCAGGGACACACACATCGGAGCCATTGGTTCATAGAGCGATGGTATGAAAAGTCCTGGATCATCAGTGTCTTTGTAGATCCAGGACTTTGAAGTGTCCACAATATCTATAAATAATACTCTTTTACAGTTATAATTCTCTTATCAGTACAATACAAACTGGAGCCACACATCTTTAAAAAAAATCCTGCTGAAATGGCGCCGTGGCCGGAGCTCTGGTGTGTACTTAGTGCACACTGGGGTCGTCTTGCACAGTTTTTCCACTGTGGTTTTACTGCAAAAGGCAAATAAATGAATGTGTCTTGAATCATGAATATGTTGTGTCCCCTCACATACACACCTTAATAATATTTGTTAACTATTCTCTATATATTGTAAACTGCATATCATTTATTTTACACATTTTATTTTTGTTGCTTTTTTCTGCCTAAGATGTTTCTGCAGTTCAGTGTTCATAGTTTTACACCATGAACACTGAACACTGGTCCAGACCAGAGCAGAGAGGATTCATGGTCCGAACCAAGTGGATCAGGAGAAAATCCACTGGAGGATGCTAACTTTTAGAAAAATGCTAATGAAGCGTTTAGCATTTTACTTTGGACCAGAGCAGAGAAAATGGTCCGAACCAAGAGGCTACTCCACCTCTGCTTCTGTGACCCGTCCTGCTCCACCCAGAGGCTACTCCACCTCTGCTGCTGTGACCTGTCCTGCTCCACCCAGAGACTACTCCACCTCTGCTGCTGTGACCCATCCTGCTCCACCCAGAGACTACTCCACCTCTGCTGCTGTGACCCATCCTGCTCCACCCAGATACTACTCCACCTCTGCTGCTGTGACCCGTCCGGCTCCACCCAGAGACTACTCCACCTCTGCTGCTGTGACCCGTCCTGCTCCACCCAGAGACTACTCCACCTCTGCTGCTGTGACCTGTCCTGCTCCACCCAGAGACTACTACACCTCCGCTGCTGTGACCTGTCCTGCTCCACCCAGAGACTACTCCACCTCTGCTGCTGTGACCTGTCCTGCTCCACCCAGAGACTACTCCACCTCTGCTGCTGTGACCTGTCCTGCTCCACCCAGAGACTACTCCACCTCTGCTGCTGTGACCCGTCCTGCTCCACCCAGAGGCTACTCCACCTCTGCTGCTGCGACCCGTCCTGCTCCACCCAGAGACTATTCCACCTCTGCTGCTGTGACCCGTCCTGCTCCACCCAGAGACTACTCCACCTCTGCTGCTGTGACCCGTCCTGCTCCACCCAGAGGCTACTCCACCTCTGCTTCTGTGACCTGTCCTGCTCCACCCAGAGACTACTCCACCTCTGCTACTGTGACCTGTCCTGCTCCACCCAGAGGCTACTCCACCTCTGCTGCTGTGACCCGTCCTGCTCCACCCAGAGATTATTCCACCTCTGCTGCTGTGACCTGTCCTGCTCCACCCAGAGGCTACTCCACCTCTGCTGCTGTGACCCGTCCTGCTCCACCCAGAGGCTACTCCACCTCTGCTGCTGTGACCCGTCCTGCTCCACCCAGAGGCTACTCCACCTCTGCTGCTGTGACCCGTCCTGCTCCACCCATAGGCTACTCCACCTCTGCTGCTGTGACCTGTCCTGCTCCACCCAGAGGCTACTCCACCTCTGCTGCTGTGACCTCTTCTGCTCCACCCAGAGACTACTCCACCTCTGCTGCTGTGACCCATCCTGCTCCACCCAGAGACTACTCCACCTCTGCTGCTGTGACCCATCCTGCTCCACCCAGAGACTACTCCACCTCTGCTGCTGTGACCCGTCCTGCTCCACCCAGAGACTACTCCACCTCTGCTGCTGCGACCCGTCCTGCTCCACCCAGAGACTTCTCCACCTCTGCTGCTGTGACCTGTCCTGCTCCACCCAGAGACTACTCCACCTCTGCTGCTGCGACCCGTCCTGCTCCACCCAGAGACTACTCCACCTCTGCTGCTGTGACCCGTCCTGCTCCACCCAGAGGCTACTCCACCTCTGCTGCTGTAACCCGTCCTGCTCCACCCAGAGACTACTCCACCTCTGCTTCTGTGACCCGTCCTGCTCCACCCGGAGACTACTCCACCTCTGCTGCTGTGACCCATCCTGCTCCACTCAGATACTACTCCACCTCTGCTGCTGTGACCCGTCCTGCTCCACCCAGAGGCTACTCCACCTCTGCTGCTGTGACCTGTCCTGCTCCACCCAGAGACTACTCCACCTCTGCTGCTGTGACCCGTCCTGCTCCACCCAGAGACTACTCCACCTCTGCTGCTGTGACCCGTCCTGCTCCGACCAGAGACTACTCCACCTCTGCTGCTGTGACCCGTCCTGCTCCACCCAGAGGCTTCTCCACCTCTGCTGCTGTGACCCGTCCTGCTCCACCCAGAGACTTCTCCACCTCTGCTGCTGTGACCCGTCCTGCTCCACCCAGAGACTTCTCCACCTCTGCTGCTGTGACCTGTCCTGCTCCACCCAGAGACTACTCCACCTCTGCTGCTGTGACCCGTCCTGCTCCACCCAGAGACTACTCCACCTCTGCTGCTGTGACCCGTCCTGCTCCACCCAGAGGCTACTCCACCTCTGCTGATGTGACCCGTCCTGCTCCACCCAGAGACTACTCCACCTCTGCTGCTGTGACCTGAGGCTGTTGCTGATTATTACTATTGTTAGCTTTTTTGAATGATCAATTTTATTTTTTATTTTTGCTGCTACTGGACATCGGAATTTCTCCGACGGGGATCAATAAAGTATCTATCTATCTGTCTGTCTGTCTGTCTGTCTGTCTGTCTGTCTGTCTGTCTGTCTGTCTATCGGGCTCCACAATAAGTCATAGTAGGAGCTATAGTAATGGCTGCAAATTTGTTTAAAATGGACTGCAGATATAAATGTTATCAATTTAATTTCACTTTTTTGTGGTTTTGAAGATTTCTTAACAAAAAACATAAGAACATTTTGTGTGTTTCTCAGGAAGACACTTTTTTCTGATACTTTTTTTGAATATGACATTTTACAGAAAACAAATATTTTTTCCAGGCCTATATTCTAAAACTAAAACAATTCTGTAGTGGCAGTGTGTGTGTCTGTGTGTTTGTCTGTGTGTGTGTCTGTGTGTTTGTCTGTGTGTGTGTCTGTGTGTGTGTCTGTGTGTGTTTCTGTGTGTGTGTGTGGGTGTGTGTGTGGGTGTGTGTTTGTCTGTTTTTCGGCCATGTCTGTTTCTGTGTAGTGTTTGCGTATGTGTATATGTATAATATATATGTATATATGTGTGTGTATGTATCTTCCCTGCGGTTATCTCCGGCCTGTGTGTGCGTGTGTCTGTGTGTGTGTCTGTGTGTGTGTGTGTGTGTCTGTGTGTCTGTCTGTGTGTGTGTGTGTGTGTGTCTGTGTGGCCTTGGACTTGATGTCATTAACATGTGACATATGCAGGAGCTGACGGAGGATGTCTGAGGGCCAGTTCTGTCTCGGTGCTGGTTCTTCTGACTGCAGGGGCCAGCATCCCAACACAGAGACGGAGCCGCTCTCCCTCCCTCACCCCTCCTCACCCCTCCTCACCCCTCCTTACCCACCTCCCACCACGATACAGAACCTGTTTATCAGCGACAGAGAGAGCAAAGGGTGCACATGTAGCTGGGGGTCTGCTCGCCTCTTGCCGGGAAGAGGAAGAAGAAGAAGAGTCGGAGTGACATGAGGAGAGCTCTGTGTCTGTGAGAGAGAGGGTCAAGGGCAAAGAAGAGAGAGAGGGGAGGAGAGAGGGGAGAGAGAGGAGAGAGAGAGGGGAGAGAGAAGAGAGAGGAGAGAAGGAAGCAGCAAAAGGAGAGAGGAGAGAGAGGAGAGCTCTGTGTCTGTGAGAGAGAGGGTCAAGGGCAAAGAGGAGAGGAGAGAGAGAGGGGAGAGAGAGAGAGAGAGAGGGGAGAGAGAGGGGAGAGAGGGGGGAGAGGAGAGAGGGGAGAGAGAGAGAGAGAGGAGAGAGAGAGGGGAGAGAGAGGGGAGTAGAGAGGGGAGAGAGAGAGAGAGGAGAGAGAGGGGGAGATAGAGGGCAGTAGAGAGGGGAGAGAGAGGAGAGAGAGAGAGGGGAGTAGAAAGGGGAGAGAAAGGGAAGAGGAGAGAGAGAGCGTGAGAGTGAGAGAGGGGGTCAAAGGCAAAGAGAAGAGAGAGGGGAGAGGAGAGGGAAGAAGTGAGAGCAGAGGAGGGAGAGAAGAGAAACATTTTTGTTGACGCAAAAACAGTCATTTTTATTTTCTTCACCAACAAAAAATATACTAAAGAAAAGATACATTTATTCTGGGTTTGAGTAGCTTTTGAAAGTTCAGCGGAAACTGTCAATGTGTGTTGCATAATTCAGCTCTACTCTACTCTACTCTACTCTACTCTACCCTACCCTACCCTACCCTACTCTACCCTACTCTACTCTACCCTACCCTACCCTACCCTACTCTACTCTACTCTACTCTACCCTACTCTACTCTACTCTACTCTACTCTACTCTACCCTACCCTACCCTACTCTACTCTACTCTACTCTACCCTACCCTACCCTACTCTACTCTACTCTACTCTACCCTACTCTACCCTACTCTACCCTACTCTACTCTACTCTACTCTACCCTACTCTACCCTACTCTACTCTACTCTACTCTACCCTACTCTACCCTACTCTACCCTACTCTACTCTACTCTACTCTACTCTACTCTACTCTACTCTACCCCAATTGAGACCTTAGCTGAGCTTCATTCATATCGTGCTGCAACCCTCCTCCTCCCCGTCACTGCCTTCTATTCAAAGGAAACATTTATTGTAACATTTAGCCAAATTTGAGCAATTTTGTACTTATTTCTCTCCCTTTTTGCAGAGTGTATGAGAGATTACTTTCCAAACAATTCTAATAACCCTTGTTTGTCTGTTTCAGTCTCTCTGGATTAAAGCTGGAGAATAGATCCTCCCACAGAGCGTGAGCAGGGGGGTTTCGGTGTGCGCCGGGGCGGGGGGCGGGGGTCGGAGTGAAAACCTGCAGTGTATCTATTGAACTTCTTTATTAACTCCCCGTTTACCGCGCTCTCTGGAGACGAGCTTGTTATTAGCTGTGTTTTATTGTTGCTGGGTCAGAGCACTTAGACCTCATGCAGCGGGCGCCACGCCGGACCAGGACGAGCAGAACGAGGGAATGGTTTTTCCACGGCCGGGAAAGGAGTGAGAGATTTATGATTGCAAAGAGTTTAGTTCAAAAGGAGGAAAAGAAGGAAAGGTTTTTATACATTTAAGTTACAGACTCGGAAAATCTGAATTTTGAGACGATGACAATGAGAGAAAATGAGTCCTGGGTCTACAGCCTCAGTCCTGGGTCTACAGCCTCAGTCCTGGGTCTACAGCCTCAGTCCTGGAGTTACAGTCTCAGTCCTGGATCTACAGCTGCAGTCCTGGATCTACAGCCTCAGTCCTGGGTCTACAGCCTCAGTCCTGGGCCTACAGCCTTAATCCTGGATCTACAGCCTCAGTCCTCAATCTACAGCCTTAGTCCTGGGTCTACAGTCTCAGTCCTGGATCTACAGCCTCAGTCCTGGGTCTAAAGCCTTAGTCCTGGATCTACAGCCTCAGTTCTGGATCTAAAGCCTTAGTCCTGGATCTACAGCCTCAGTCCTGGATCTACAGCCTCAGTCCTGGGTCTACAGCCTCGGTCCTGGATCCGAGGCCCATTATCATAGTCTCATAAGTTTGATTTTCTGTGTGAAAACTTGAAATGTATACAATAAATAAACAAAATAAGCCAAAAGTACAAGAAGCGATCGTTGCGGAGAAACCAATCAACAAAACACATTGAACGAATCACAAACATTTCCGATAATCATGAAACTGACGCCACAGGCCAAGTTTAGGTCCAGATATTCAGGACATTTCTGTAGCTTCTGTTTTGCACTGATGACTGGCAGTGCTCCCACAACATCGAGGTAAATCTGCTCCACAATCTGCCTACACACACAAACACACACACACACACACACACACACACACACACACACACACACACACACACACACACACACACACACACACACATCCAGGAGAAAGTGTGTCTCCACAGAGAGAGGAGGCAGAGACAGACAGAGAGAGTGGAGAAGGCCCCGAGGGTGACGGAGGTCTGAGCGCAGCGTCTGAACAAAATGCCCGGTCTGATGGAGCGAGCGAGGCCATGAACCAGGATCCAGCCCCGTGGCCAGACCCCGGCTCGGCGCTGTGTGTGGGAGACAGAGACGCCGAGTACAGTCCATCTGAATATGGAGGCAGCCACACAAGCACCAGAAACAACACTTTTGAATCGGAGGAGTTAAAAATGCAGATACTTTGCTGTATGCTCGGGGTGTGTTGTAGAGATTTTGCAACACAATATGACTTTACTATTGTATATTTATCATTCATTCACGGTTAGTCCTGGTCTCAGGTCTCTGCTCTGGCTCCTGTGGCTCAGAGAATGGACTTTAAAACAACGTCTCTCTCCATGGTCCACCTGTGTACATCTGTGACATGTTAGGGCCATATGGACCGACTCAGGGACTGGGACTGGTCTCCTGCTGGTCCCGGAGTCAGGACTGAACTTGCGGAGGCAGCATTTCAGATTTATGCAGCTAAAATCTGGAACAATCTTCCTGGAAATGTGAGACAAGCTTCTTCTCTGACAATGTTCAAATCCAGATTTTCCAACCCAAAGCACTCACAGACGATGGCAGTGCTGTGTGTGTGTCTTACTGTGTGTGTGTCTGTCTGTTTGTGTGTGTGTGTGTGTCTGTGTCTGTGTCTTACTGTGTGTGTGTCTGTGTCTTTGTCTGTGTGTGTGTGTGTTTGTGTGTGTGTGTGTCTTACTGTGTGTGTGTCTGTCTGTTTGTGTGTGTGTGTGTGTCTGTGTCTGTGTCTTACTGTGTGTGTGTCTGTGTCTTTGTCTGTGTGTGTGTGTGTGTGTGTGTGTGTGTCTGTGTCTTTGTCTATGTGTGTGTGCGTATGTGTGTGTGTGTGTGTATGTCTTTGTCTGTGTGTGTGTTTCTGTGTTTGTATGTCTGTTTGCGTGTGTCTGTGTGTGTCTGTTTGTGTGTGTGTTTGTTTTTAGCTTTGACGCTGAGACGTTTAGACACGAGGACACCCTGGGAATGACGCTCATACAATGTGAAGCCCCCATCTGCCCGGGTGTCCCCCACCAGTCGGCTCACACACACACACACACACACACACACACACACACACACACACACACACACACACACACACACACACACACACACCAACACACACACCAACACACACACACACAACGCTAACCTCTCCTGACAGGCCCAGCTCTCACTTAAAGCCCTGCAGTCCAGCGCTCCTCAGCCTCAGTGCGACGCCAGGAGGTTTCTGACAAAGAGGAACAAGAGACGAGAGAGAGAGATCCTGAGAGAGACCAGCGGAGAGAGACCAGCGGAGAGAGAGAGACCAGCGGAGAGAGAGAGACCAGCAGAGAGAGACCAGCGGAGAGAGGGATCCTGAGAGAGACCAGCAGAAAGAGGGATCCTGAGAGGATCTACAGCCTCAGTCCTGGGTTTGCCAGTCATGGCGCGACAACGGGACCTCTGAACCTGGCCTCCTCCACCTTCATCTGCGGACTGCCCCGCCCGACCCGCCTGGGAGTGCTTCAGTCCTGCACCGGACCTGTCCACGTTCTGCGGCCGCTGCGTGGTATTGGTCCTCGTTCTGTAGCTTAGGTCCTGGATCTATAGCCCGTCCGTCCGTGTAGGAGCTCGGGTCTCCCCGAGGTTTCTCACTGGGTTTTTGTGAGTTTTTCCTCTGATGCAGGAGGGTCTGTTGGACAGTTAGTGTCCAACTAGAAGGACTGTGATGATCCAGGACACTTTAACATTCTACAACATGTATGACATTAAAACATTCATGGACATGGTCTCTCCCTGTGGACCAATACATATGAGTATGTTTTGTGTCTTAACTGTTGATTCTCTGATCTGTGTTGGTGATTTTATTAAGTCCTCTGAGATTACTTCTGTCGTGATTTAGGGCTACTGTATAAAAGAAAAAAAATGTGTTGTTGTTTTTGTAGCCTCAGTTCAGGGTCTACAGCCTCAGTCCTGGGTCTGCAGCCTCAGTCCTGGATCTACAGCCTCAGTCCTGGGTCTACAGCCTCAGTCCTGGATCTACAGCCTCAGTCCTGGGTCTACAGCCTCAGTCCTGGATCTACAGCCTCAGTCCTGGATCTACAGCCTCAGTCCTGGATCTACAGCCTCAGTCCTGGATCTACAGCCTCAGTCCTGGGTCTACAGCCTCAGTCCTGGATCTACAGCCTCAGTCCTGGGTCTACAGCCTCAGTCCTGGATCTACAGCCTCAGTCCTGGGTCTACAGCCTCAGTCCTGGGTCTACAGCATCAGTCCTGGGTCTACAGCCTCAGTCCTGGGTCTACAGCCTCAGTCCACCCGCTCCTATGGGTCTGTCATTACTGCATTTCTTGTGATTGAACTGTTTGATTCTCTTTGTAAAGTCCTCCTCTGCTGTTATAAATAGGCAAAAAACAAATAAATGATATTGAATTAATGTATATGACCCCTCCCTCCCCTCCCTCCCCCCTCCCTCCCCCCCTCCCCCCTCCCTCCCCCTCCCTCCCCTCCCTCCCCTCCCTCCACTCACCCGCTGCCTCCTGAGACTCTCACAGGTGCCTAAGAATATATTTTGGTGCAAGTTTTTAGCTGCTACTTAAAAGTTGGCAAAGGTTTCGGCAGGAGAGTCATTTTTAATCTTTGTTATGTGCTCCCCGTCTGCGAACTCCCAAATAGACCCCGACTCCGCCTTGTCTTAAAAGTTCCAATAAATTAGACTTTATAACAGACGACGAAAGGAATCATTTCAACTCTGGAGAAAATATTGACACTCAAATGCTTCCCTTGGGTTGTTTCCCATATTTTTAGCTGCTGTCAGAATGATGACTTTTTATATTTGGATGTTGTGTTTTGGGAAGATGAGCTCGGAGTCAGTCCCTGGAGACACAGCCTCCCACCGCGGCGGAGCGCTGGCTGCTGGCGGCGGCGGCGGAGCGCTGGCTGCTGGCGGCGGCGGCGGCGGCGGCGGCGGCGGAGGATGGGAACGCAGCGAGAGACGATAGCACCGAGGAAATATGATGTTTACAGACTCTGGATCAGTGAGAAGTAACAGAGAGAGAGAGAGATATAGGGAGAGAGAGATAAAGGGGAGGAGGGGAGATAAAGAGAGGAGGGGGGAGGGATAGAGGGAGAGGGGAGGGGGGAGAAATAGAGGGAGTAAGAGACGGAGAGAGGGAGGGAGAGAGAGAGGGAGGGAGAGAGTGGGGGGAGAGAATGAGAGGAGAGAGACAGATATACATACATAGAGAGATGGAGAGAGAGACAGAGAGAGAGACTGATATACATATATATAGAGATAGAGGGAGAGAGAGGGGGGGGGGAAATAGAGGGAGAGAGACAGAGAGAGAGATGGGGGAAAGAGAGAGAGAGGGGGAGAGATAGAGGGAGTAAGAGACAGAGAGAGAGAGGGAGAGAGAGAGGGAGAGAGTGGGGGGAGAGAATGAGAGGAGAGAGACAGATATACATACAGAGGGGGAGAGAGAGAGAGAGACTGACATATATAGAGAGAGATAAAGGGAGGGAGAGAGAGGAGCAAAAGATACAAGTGGGATTTCAAGAGAGGATCTGGAGATAGTTTTGTTATGTTTGTGTTTGATTTGATTTTACAAATCTGGAAACACAACAACAAGGACATAGCCCCACTGTCTCCCATCACAGCCCTAACCAGGCCCTGCTCTGCTTAGCTTCAGAGGTCTGACAGGATCTGGCTTTAAAGGCAGGTAGCAACACAAATTTATAATGTTTTTCTTTTTCAAATGTTGTTGTTCATGTAGAAAAGTTGCTGAAAGAACGTCTTCCCAGGTGTGTGCTTTAAAGTTTCACACTGTGCAGAATTACAATCCGAGCTTTAGTTTGAATAAATGTATTTTGTGAAACAGACAGAGATAAAGAATGAACCGCTGCTTCCACACCTCGCTCTGACTGACAGCTCTGACCTGAATGTGCACATGTGCCCTGCAGACACACACACACAGAGACACACAGAGATACACACAGACACACAGAGACACACAGAGATACACACAGACACACACACACACACACACACACAGAGACAC